TAACACCCCACTCCAAGCATTGTTTACAACCACACAACAAAATCATATTTTGCAATTTGCTGTATTAATATTCTCATGTTTTATTCTGACACAAATTCATTGTCCAGCTTAAATAATGTAAATGATAAATATTTTTAATTTTCACTGGTTTTAATCGTTTTTGATATCACTTATCAATGTATTATAAAGTAATGATAGTATATTATCTATGTATAAAATTGCAATATTCGACTAAATTGGGATTAGGAGTAATGATATATAAGTAATTTATAACCATAAAAAATTGTGCAATTAATTAATGCCCCCCCCCCCAAAAAAAAAAATGTTTCACAGGTACGCCACTGGACGCATTCACGCACAAGGGATCTCCATCTCAGCAACAATCCAATTCATTCAAAATATTTAAAAAAAATATTCTAACCGATCTTCCTTTAATCTGTCTTTACATGATTGTCTTTTATGGTTATCTAGAATTTAGATCTTTATTACTTTCAGTCTAGTTTTTATTCTGTTATTTCCAGTCAAATATAATTATGAGCTCAGCTTATCTTAATAATATGGTATTTTTAACAATACCCATTAATTACTTTGTTGGATTTTCTATTTAGTTATTTTAATAAAATTCTTTACAGTCTAAATCTATACTAATATCAGAAATTATATATTATATTATAAGTTATAAGTAWCCGCGTGGGTCCCCTAAATATGTTCAACGTGTATGACATAGCTATACAATATTACAAAAGTATTAATTCGAACAAGACTAGGCGCYGACAAAGCCCACCGTTTCCTTAGCGACGGCGTCGACGCGAAATAAGGTTGAACGTTATACCATTATTGATCTGCCCGGGGAGCTTTGTTGTTGTGGGAGTATTGCGACGTAGGTGGTGTCCAATATAATTTTATGAGGGAATGAGGTAGCCGTGAGCTCGAAAATCAATAACAGCCTGCCTCACAGCACCCCATCTTGCGTATTACTGGGTGTGGCAGTAGATTCAGTTTCAACATACTTGATTACGATCATAATTGTTACTATTACAGATTTACTTATATTATTCCAATACATTTATTTGCTGTTCACTAATTATTATTTTACTATCCAACGATATATACATATAAAACGATAATTTATCGTAACCGTCTAATGAGCGTGAGTTACACGTACGGACTAAGATATGCAGGAATGGATGAGAGAGACACGATGAGATAATATTATGGTATGAGATATATGAACATTATAGTTACGAAACGTAATTGTTCATGCAGTGTACAGGGGGTGTTTCCTCTTAGCATTACTAGTGCCATTGTAGTGGATAATTATGGAMCTAGATATTTGTTATAACGTGATAGTTCCATAAGTATCCACTAAGACAGCGCTAGTAATGCTAAAAGGAAAATACCCCCTGCACACCGTTCTATAACATTTCATGGTTAACCTCCCCACACCCTCCAACCATTTCGTGTCCAGTCCTGTATATCTTAGTCCGTAGTTACACGCATGTGCGATACTGTGACCGCGGTTTGGTAATATGCATCCTGGAGTAGTTATTGCCTACCGCGACAATGCTTTATCAACGTAAACTTAGATCTCTTCAGACTCAGTACACCACTAGTTGCTGTAGCAGTGCAGCTGTGCGGTACGTCTGTTATCAATAATTACTTATTGTTGTTATTATTTCATATCAAGTGACGCGTAGTAACAGTCGGCTATGTCTTATATAATTATATTATTATAACGTAGTCAGAGCATCAAGCTTTTATTTAAGAAAATAAAATAAAAACTCTCTTTGGTCGATTTTTTAATATGGAATCATCCGAAAGTCCGGATTCGAAAGACTCAACAACTTTTAGCCATGACGCAGGTACTTCGAAAATCAMGAATCAAGTCAAAAGTAGTCCGATGATATCTAGCCACAGTCAGACAAATTCTACGGGAAACTATCAGGTGATGGCTGACCAGCCACGACATGGAAACGTCGATGAGCARTTACCGCAGATTGAAGATGTCAACGAGCAGAAACCCGGGAGCGACACTGTCATGAATCCTTGTTCGATCCAACAAGCTCAGCCAAATCAAATCGCGAATGYGATGCAGCAACACCGACAGTTGTTGCTAAATTATCTCAATTCACGGTTATCGATAAATGAACGCCAACGGAATGGTTTGGACGATCAACCACCTCAGGCAAGGCCACATCATCCACCATTAAACTCAAGAAGAAGAAACGCCACGAATCCCGGTCTAATCCGATACAAAACTCCACATTTCCACTTAACCATTAGAAACCAAGACTGGACGTTCAATGATGTTAGACAACGGGTACCGGTAAGAATACGCCAACAGCTACTAGCGATAGAACGCCAACAACTACCGTTGAGACATCACCGACCATTCAATGAATGTCACGAGCTACTGATGAATGCAGACCGATTGCAACCGATATGTGAACTACCACGCAATAGTCTGAATGCTCAACCATCCCAGGTAATGCCACGTAATTTGCCATTAGTTTCTAGAACGGAGATTGAACCGGGAATTTTCGAGGAAATTTACTCACAAAACAACACATACAGAGGATTGCGAAAAATGTTCGGCGCACCTAGATGTTTAGTATGTATAATAGTATAGTAATTTTATGGAATATTTTTATTATATTCCATTATAAATATTTTAATCTGAAAATTATTATTCAAATTTTCCTAATCTAACCTAACCTAACCTGTTTTACATTTCAGAGTTGTATATACTTGCTTGGTCCATCAATAAATTATAATTATCAATGTCTAAATTTAAACATCTTAGTTGAATTTATACTAATAGCTTTGAAATAACAGGTTCTATAGGTAAACGAAGTCTTGAGTAATGAGCTACAGACAGTGTAAGAAGAGCCGAGACAAAATCTTAATGTTTATTATATTGTTAGGTGTATTATAAACAAAGGTTATTGTAAGGGCTAATAAGGGGTGGGATTTTCTTGTCCATGAATGTTGATAAACTGCCAAGTGCTTTAGACTACAAATACAAACTAGTCAAGTGTTTAGAAAATCAATATCTAGGTTTCCAAACAGAGCGATAACAGTTGTATATTGTTGTTGTCAATAAATTATGCAACATAGGGACCGTCAAGTCATTCACAAATCACAAACAGTACATTATTATTGATTATATTACCTACCGTTTATTTCGTAGTGAAATGATAATACCTTATCATTTTAACTCCAAACAGTCTCTTATCATTTAATTAATTAATGGGCTTATTGCTATATTTTAATTTTTAAGTGAGTTATAACTAGTGATGGGCACTACCGACTAGTTTGTACAATCGATTGTCCCTCGATAGTTTTTTAAACAATCGAGTGATTTTACGATTGAATAGATATTATTATCCATCGATTTTTTTTAAAACTATCGGGTACATATACTCGATAGTTAACTTTCGGTAGTTGTACATGTCTAGTACCAACTAGTTTTGACTATCGATAGTTTAAAAAACAATCGAATGATTTTTCGATACTATCTACCAAATTTTCTTGTTAATTATCACTTTTTACATTTTTAATATTTTTATGAAAGTACTAACTAGTAACTACTAACTATCACAAAATAAATGTTGTCATGCTAACTACTAAGTAATTTGGTCAGATGCCAAACTGTCTAGACGTTTTGAAACCGAACACATTAGTACATTACCTTTCTCTAAATATTGTAACGGGGATGTTTWACCTTTTACATACAAAATGTCAAAATCCATTTAAATTATTAATTTTGGTAATTTTTTTACTTTAAGTTTTTAATTTATAAGATTTAATAGTGAATATTAGTTGCAGGTTGAACCTCCTCCTAGTCTCCCACCACAATAATGTAATGCTATATTATTTTTTTCATTGAAATAGTACTTAATTCGTTTTTATTTATATTTTAATAGTGTACCTTTGGTGAACTGTAACCATTAACATTCAATGTTCCTTATAATTTGATATAGGTAACTAATAAATAACTAGATAGGTAATGGAAAATATAAATAAAAAATTAATCAATTTCAAATAACTTCTGAATAACCATTTGAGTAAAAAGTAAAAACAAACCGACCAGTGTCATTTTATATCCTAGTTTCTAAAATGTCATCTACTTATAATATGGTGTATTTCAAATATTAATATTATATTCTTCTTCTTCTTCTTCTTGTCTGTAATCGACCATTAAGATCATACATTCAAACATATATCTTGCCATTTCATTTTTTATTTTTCATATTTTCACAATATTATATTGTTTTAAAAATTAAAATTTGACATAAATAGTACCATCTTCAGTTATGAATCCAACAATTTTTTTTTTCTGATTTCATCCATTGATCATTTCTCCAAGTGTTACTTAGTATCAAGTATTAACAACTATGAAAAATTTGGGAATTGTATTATGAGAAAAAAATCACAATAAATGATAGGATATGGGTATTGGTTGTTTGGTAGGTAACTCTTATTTGGGAAATAGTAAATAGTAAATAYCGAGGATTGTAGTGATTGTACCTATACACTGAGTATGATTTGTTCTAGATGGACTGTTGAAATATAACTAAAACACTATAAAAGTACATATAACATTTTATCCAAATCAATTGGATATATTTTACTATTCAGAGTTAAAAAAAAAACAATCAAAATAATATTTATTTTAATTTTTTTAATATTTCACTTTTTTAATGGTGTATWATTAAAGATTCAAGGGATTCTTAAGTTAYAACTTTCAATAATTGAAATAGAATATATATAAGCAGTACTAGGTTTAATGATTTGATACCACTACCAGTAAAAAATTTGTATGTAGGGTGGACCGCAAGCAGACTGTCATTGTCCACCTTGTATTTCATACTCACCACAGCTATAAATATGTATATTAGTTTAAAATTGCAAATTTACAAGTTAAATAAGTCTTGAACCTTGTTCGACACTTTTAAATAAAAACATACCCTAATACCCTTATATGACCTTCCAGAGGTTTAATAATATGTTGGATGTTCAAACCAGTTGAAYATCACCTGAAAAATAAAAAACACATATTTTTGATCTATAACTTCTAAGGTTTTTAATTATGAAACATAAATTATAAACTTTATACTTTTTTTTAATAATAAAATAATAAAATACCTTTTTATACCTTTTTATACCTTGTCACTTACCTTGTGTGCAAACAATTAAAAAAAAACTTACAAATTTTTATTTAAAAAAATTAATATATCAACATTTTCAGGCAATAATCTATTGCGTCGAGCGCTTAATATCTGTCCAGCTTTCGAAAATATTCTTTCAGCTGGTACTGATGTGGCTGGAATTATACAATATTTTAATGCTATTTCACTGAGTTGAGCTAAGACGGTCTTGTGGTTGTCCCAAAATACAGGAACATTGCATTTCAAATCTTGATGAGGCATATTCAAGTACTGKCTCATCAAGGATATAGCACTACTAGTGGTTGTTGTCTGCGACTGGACATTGGTCACTCTGGAATTGAGAAAATTCCACACGTTATCGCTATCTGTATTTAGATTTTCTTCATACGTAGGTTGTTCTGAAATTAAGTAAAATCTAATTAATTGTTATCTATTTAATATGAGTGTTAGATTTCTCAACAGTTTTTCTACAAACATGTTTAATCAAATTACATTTTRAATTGATAATGTTTTTGTAGAAAATGATTAGGTATGATGAAATAATGATAACACATTTGATGTGTAGTTATTAAGTGATTTATTTTTTTTTAGCTAATATTAAGTTATATTATCATACTAATTTAAGTTTGTTAACCAATTCTATTTAACTATATATTTTTATAGATTTAGTTACAATTATATATTATTTACCTGTGTTTGAAGCATTACTAATTAAAGCAGCTGTTTCGTTTACCAGTTGTCTTTCTGCTTCATTAGCATTTTGTTCTGACCCAAATGCAACCTTTTTGCACCTTGGGTCCAGCAATGTAGCCCTAGAAAAATGTGGTGTAACGGATTGCTTCTCTATGCTATCAAAACGTTTATTAGTGTTTTCTACTAATCTATTTTTTATGAACATTCCCAGTCGTGTTTTCGGATCTTTAGAAATTAATGAACTTTGCAAACCTATAAATAATTAAAAACATTTTATAGAATTTAATAGAAAATACTAAAATTAAACTGTATACATAATCAACAAGTTAATTACCTCTTATCAACGGTATAACTGTTGAAATAGTTGGATAGTTTTCAGCAGRGATCTCAGTAGTCAGCTTATCGAACGGTCTTAATAACGGGACCATATCTTCGATGATACTCCATTCTTCAGGGCTAAGATTACTAGGCGCTTCTCTTATTGTAATCATTACTATTGTTAATGGTTCTTTCAGTTTGATAAGTCTTTCTAACATCAAAAACGTGCTATTCCACCTAGTACGAATATCTTGTTTTAATTTCAACACTGTTTCATATCCAAGCTGCTTCTGTTTTTCWACCAACATTCTGTTCCCGACCTCACTACGTTTAAAAAAACTAACCATGTTTCTACATTTCTTAAAAATGTTCTTCAGATCACTTTCATCTGTATTATCGTTGACATTAATCTCTTCATCGTCTGATAACTTGAGTGCATTTTGAACAACTAAGTTTAGTTTGTGWGCAATACATGGCAAATGTGATAAATCCATAAGCCTGACTGCAGCTTTTATATTAGATCCACCATCAGTTACTATGGCAACAACTTTTTCCAATATATTCCATTTTTTTAGTTCATCAGTCATTATTTCACACAAATTCACACCGGTATGGCTGGATTCCAATTTTTTGGTGCACAACACTAAGGCTTTTAACTGAGTTTGATAAAGGAAATGAACAGTCATAGTAATGTACGAATCTGTGTTCATGGAGGTCCATATATCAGTAGTTATGGCCACATTTTTTGCTTGATTCAACAAAGTTTTGACTTTATTCTGAACTGTTGACAATAGTCTTGGAATTATTGTTCTTCCAAGCGTTCTTCTACTAGGGATTTCATACCTAAAAAAAAGTTAATTTAGTTATGTTTGGGTGACAATTAAAAAAATCAAGATCATTAATCCAAAATGAATTTAGTCAAGGTATATATATATAAGTATAGTATACTTATAGTAATACAAATATAATTAATAGTAAATTGTTGTTAGTGTTGATTTCAGATTTTTTAAAAAAATATTGGCATATTAAAAGTTTTAATTAATTATTTAATTATCACCTAGAGTCCAAGAGCTGCACCATATTACGAAATCCTGAGTTTTCAACTATGGAAAGTGGCTGTAGATCCTCGGCTATCATTCTCACAATTGCTTCGTGGAATGCCCTAATTTGGTTTTCTGAAGGTGTACCAAATCTTAAAAAAAAAAATAACAAAATAGGTACAAGACATAAATCTTAAAAAAGCTAAATTAAATACTTAATATCATTATTAATTTAAATTTAAAAATTGTGTGAAAAATCTACTATAAAGTATAAAAATG